ATGATACTTTTACTAACGCCAACCTCAATCTCTCTTCTCATCAACTTAACAACCTCATACATACTATCTCTTCACATTCTGCCTTCAATCTCCAACCATCCCAACTATACCCTTTCTTTCTCAATTCTACACTTAAAGGCCTTATACCTATACCCTTAATCCAATCTCTAGATCCATTCGAAATCTCATATTCCAATGCCTCTCAACTTATTATTCAGCTACTTCTCAAAATCTCCAACCAACTTTATAGCAATATCTGGATTTCATACTGTACCAACTTTTCTAACTGGAAAAAATTTCACCAAATTCCTTCTTACTCCAACTATAATACTCCACCACAATCTTCTCTACGCTCAATCAACAGAAGAAACAAAACTAATTATACTTACAGTTGTCCTTGTGGCTTTGCTGACCAACTATACTCCGAAACTAATACTTGTCCTCCCCTAGGACAAGCTAACCTTAAAATCAATACATGGTCCACTACGTGGATTAAATATAATACACCTATTAACCAAATTCTAAAAAATCAAACCTAGGTGAGCTTTGACCACTCTAGTAGGTTTAGGTCGCAGATAATTAGTTTAGCTTTTAGGTTAAACTTTTAGTCTAAGCTTTTATTCTTGTATATAATTTATATTTATTTGTTATTATACAAATTAAGTCTTTATATAGTTGATATGTAATTACTTATATAAATTAATCAATAAAGATACGAGCAAGGCCTCACCTTAATACCAAAAAAAAAAAAAACTAATTCTATTAATATGGGCGAGGATGAAGCAATTCAAAATATTAATATAAACGAAAATGAAGCAATTCAAAATATTAATATGAACGAAGATTCTTGTGAGGTAATTAAATTTTAAAATAGATATAAAAGCTTTTTTGCTTTAAAATAATAATAATAATAATTTTTATTATTATTCTTTTTTTAGATAATTTTTTGGGATTCTATACCAAATTTTTTAAAAGCTATTTTCCCTCCAAATTATAGCTATATTAATTGACGTATTATAAACTTACCATCATATTACACTAATGAGGGTTTTGAAATACGACAGTTTGAAGCTGATGTATTGGTTAATGTTTCAACCCCAGAAAATACACAAATATGGTTTTCTGCATTCGAAAACAGTCTAAATCAACAATGCCACAATCAAAAGGTTATAAAATTAAGGGTAAACAGGTTATTCTTCAAGAATTATGTCACTGTATACACAGCCAGAAAGTTAGAGAAAAACAAGGCGATCCTAAATTAAAGTATTCAGAATCAGCACGTGACAAAAATACAGGTTGCTTAGCAACTTTGTATTTGCGATTAGTATATTGGTGTCTATCTACTAGTCATCCTTTAGAAGTGAATGTTTGTTTTAAACAGAACATATTGTTAATTAACCTAAGTCACTTAGCTTCAGACGTGTAAATGAGGATATACGTGATAAGTTTATTCAAATGTTTCAAAATGACACTCACATGCATCTGCTATATATAATCATGAAGATGAGCTTCATGTTTTAGCTTTATCAAATAAAAATCTTATAGAATCTCTTGCAGATCACTCAGTTAATCCAGATTACACTTATGTTTTGCATCTTTATGAACAATATTGTAATTCCCAGCTTGGTGGACAAAATAGAGTTTCAATGTTTCAACGCTTATCTAAAGAGGTTTTAAATTACAATTTATCTGGTCAAGGCCAAGCGATTCTTCAAGAATTTGACTCAAGAACTGGAAAAGTATTTATATTATATATTGTTACAGGACTAATAAGTCGAGTGTATAAAGAAGTTCATGAAGCGGGTGAAATTTGCTACATGGATGCTTCTGAATCATTGAACCTTTAAATATGTCTATAACACTCTTGTATACAAGCTGTATAGTAGACGCATTACCATTAGGCGTATATATTACATCTAATGAACTCGGAATTACAATTGAAAAAGCAATTAATCTTCTGAAATTAATTCTTCCAGAATATATATTTTTTGGTTGAGGATGTGATATAGGACCACAAAATTTTTTAACTGATGACTATGCGGTAGAAAGAAAAGCATTAAAACTTTGTTAGCTATAATCAAACAGACTTTTATGCACATTTCATATATTACAAGCATTCTGGCGCTGGCTTTATAATTTGAAACACGGTATTAATAAAGAAGATCAAATAAATATAATGAGTCAAATGAAAAAAATTGTATATGCACAAACAGAAATTGAAATGAATAATTTTTATCAAGAATTAAAAAGCACTTATTATCAAATATATCCATTACTTGAAAAGCATTATGAGATACTTTGGAATCGTCATCAGTATTGGGCTCATTGCTTTCGTGTAAATTTATTAATACGTAGCAACCACACAAATAATTATGTAGAGCGTGGTTTTGGTTTACTTAAGGATATTATTTTTGCCAGAACTAAAGCATATAATTTTGTTCAAGTTTTTTATTTTATTACAAAAAATATAGAAAGATTTTATCAACGCCATCTTTATGGATTTGCAAATCGACATCTTGGGCATATAAAGATTGCAAAAAGATTTTATGTCCAGGTTGGGACACTATAGATAGAGACTCTATTTAACAGCTACCAAATGCAAATGAATTCTTGGTTTCAAGTAAAAATAATTTAGGAGTTGTTTATAACGTAAATAGTGATATTGGAACATGTAGTTGCTCTATTGGTATGATGGGTGCACCATGCAAGCACCAAGGTGCTATTGCAATGAAGTATCATATTAAGTTAATTAATTTTTTACTTTCACTAACGCCTGAGGATCATATGATTTTTGCATTTGTTACAAGTGGTATGTAATTATTTTTTATATAATTTATATACTTATTAAAGTATAAATTTATTTATTTGCTAATAATATTTATAATTTTTAAGGTGTTAATTCAAAAAATTGTTCTTTCTACGCATCCTTACATACTAAAGCCGTGCAAAAAAATAGTAAAGCGGATGAACAGAATAATAGTCAAATAGACAAACAAATAAATAAACAAACAGACGAACAAATAAATGAACAAACAGATGAACAAATAAATAATCAAACAGATAGGTTTGTTTAGTTTAAATTATTACATTCTTAATAAATACATACTAATATTGTTATTATAATTAAAATTTAGCAAATTTGAAGAAAATGAAATAGAGACCGATAATGTTAATAATTTATCATTTGATAAATTTTTAGAAGAAATTAGTGACGATTATAAAAACTGTGGATCACAATTAAGAAAAGCATTTGAAACATTTGCTAAAAGATATAGAGCATCCAAATCACGATCAATTGTTTGGGCAATTACATTTCTCTACAACTCTGATTTTTCTACACAAATTAAAAGTGGTGCAGCAATTTGTATCCAACCAGAATCTGTAAAACGAAGAAAAACTGGAGTTAGAAATAATAAGCGAGCGAAGATACAATACAAGCAAGAGAATATATTTCAAGAAATTCCCAAGTGTAAAGTACGACAAACAAATAAAAAAGGGCACAGTTTGAGTAACAATGTCTCGCATAATGTTTTAAACTAGTATTAAAATTAGAAGCTTATTGTCATTTATGTAATTATGCTTGATAATTAAAAAGCTATATTTCTATTTGTTGCACAATTTATAAATATAAATTTATATTCTGATTATGAAGACAAAGACTATATTTACACTACTCTATATTAATAATTTATATATCAACTTTATTAACTAAATTTTTTAAATTACTAATTATATTCAGCATAAAAAAACTTTATATACATATCATATGTAGAATAAAGATCTCACATTAAAGTAAGTAAATTTATTAAATAATTGCTTATTTTTTAGCAATATATATTAATAGTTGCTACGTATTGCTTTTAAGTATAACAATTCTTGAATATATGGCAAGTTAATAGTGCATACCTAGCTACTTTAAATATTTTAAATCTTTTTTCCATTAATTGAAATTTTTAGTTCACTTATTATAAAAAGGTACATTCTAAAGTGAGTTGACTGTACTTAATATGTAAGTATATTACAGTAATTTCAGAAGTATGTAAGATTAACAAAATTTATAAAATTTAGATTTAAAAATAAATCATCTTTAAGATAAAGAACACTATCGAGTTTCAAAATATGTGATAAGGGGAGTAACGATAAAGGGAAATCAGAATAAAGAAAGTAAAAAAAAAAAAAAATGAATAAAGTTTTCGCGTTCAAACTATTCTTTTGAGACCACGTGGGATTATGGAAAATCGACGGTCCGGGGTCTCTACATATTACTAATTATCAATTAAGAATCAACGACGATGCATAAATTATGCATAATATGAATAAAGCCAAAATACCATATAATCAAACTATTATGTAATTAAGACTGAGTTAACTATCGGAGATAAGATATGATGTAATTAATTTAAGAGTTAAATTATATAAAAGAAAATAGAAAAATTTAGTAGAAGGTTTGGCTTTTTTAGCTTAAGAAAATAAAGAATAATTTACAAAAAGGTTTACTTATCTTCATTGACAATAGAAAAGTACCAAAATATTATTTGTTTGCTTATAAAATAAGTCAAGAAAACTTAAATAAATACACTAATACTTTCTCCAAAACGTACAAGTGTTATAATTGTAGGAGATTCGACAATCTCATTTATAATTTTATTATTGTTATTATTAGAATTTTAAAATTTCGCTTATTTGAACTATTTAATACACTACCAATATTGGTTTTGACATATATCTCTTTATTGTTTTACAGTAATAAAAAAAGTGATGTTTATTTATTGTCTAATTTGATTGCCTGGGTTATGCTAATCCTATAGTTACACCACATATTGATCGATATAACCTGGCACAGAATGTTGGGGTGCATAATTATCTTACATAATACTTCGTAATTATATATTTCGCAATATTGTGAAAGTTATTATATAATATTATGGCTTTCTTATGCTTCGTAAATTATTGTGCAATATTATACCCTATTAAATTTGCTGATGTATGATAAATATAATTAAATATAAAATTTTGTAAATTCCGTAAACAATAAATATAAATTTTATATATAATAAATATTTATTAAATAATAGCAAATTGTAATTGCATACAAATCAATACTAGTATATACTATACTATTAATTTTATAATTAAATATTAGTTTTATTTTTAGATTGTTTGCCTCTTCGAGATTGTTGTTTTTTGAGTAAAGTTTTTTTTTGTATATTTTGAGTTTGTTGAAAACAAGTTGTTCGTCGCAAATTTGTAACTTTTTGAAAGTATATGTGTAGTAATAATATTTATTAAATATAAAAATATTAATAAATATATAATTAAAAATTTTTTATCCTTACCATTATTATTTTTTGTAAACTCCAAGTCGCTATTATTAAATTCTTGATCCTGATTATTATCGCTATTAATAATAATTGAAGTTTTTACTATAATATATAAAATTCAATATATATATTAGTATACAAATATATAATAAATATATATTAATTAAATTAACTTTTTTTAGATCCTCGATTTTCTTTATCGTTATTATATTCTAAACAATTATGTTCAGTTTCAGTATTATTATTCAGACTTTTTTGTATTTTATTAACAATATCTTTATTATGTTAATTAGACGAATCTTTTTCATGTATCTTTTTCACTATATTGATTAGACATATCTTTTTCAATATGTTGATTAGATGTATCTTTTTCAATATGTTGATTAGACGTATCTTTTTCAATATGTTGATTAGATGATTTTTTTCAATATGTTGATTAGATAATTCTTGAACTGGTGTATTAGTATGTTGATTAGACATATCCTTTTCGTTATCCATTTCTCGATCAAACATTTCTTGATTCAAAGTATCTTGCTCAGATTCATTATCAAGTTCTTGTTGATCAAATATATTATTTAGTTTTTGGATTTAATATCAATACATAATTTACTAATATTATAAATATAAATATAATAAAAATAATAAAATATTACCAATTTCAATATCCTCAGAAATAAATTCTCTTGTACGTTTCTTTGGTCACTTTTGTGTAGTATAAGCTAGGCGTTTAGGCTTATGCCTAAAATAATCAACTTAAAATGATACATATAATTAACAAAATATAATTTAATAACAATATACAATATACTTAAAAATAATAATAACTTTTGAATTTATTATTTGTCTAAGCATTTCATAAAAACCCAATCGTTAATCTTATTTAAAAACTCTGGATATTTATTAGTGGCTTTTCTAAACCATGTCTTTTGAATTTCTTTTGGAATATATTTAATATTACTTTTTTTAAATAAGCACTATTTTGTTGCAAGTTACGAAGGTATTTCTATTTAAAAAAATATATTATTATAAAGTTATTACTAAAAACTGTTTATATTTATAAAAATTATCTTGCATTCTTTAACTAGAATATTTGTATACCATTTGCCAGTAACTAGATCAGTTATTGGTTTTTGTATTTTTTTTCTTTTTTTAATTTTAATTGATTAATCTTTACGAATATACTATTTTACTTTGGAAGTGCTGTCCAAATTAACAGATGGTGCATCAAGTTCATTAATATTATTGAAAATAAAGGTTTTGTTAGATATTTTAAATGTTTGAAAATAAATTTAAAAATAAATTTAAAAAAAAATTCTGTTTAACGATATAAACAAGCTTAAATATGTAAATAATAATTAATTATAACTATGTAATTGACAATTAATATTATATTTATAAAGTGATTGTGATTGTGATTTTGATTGAGATTGAGATTAAGATTGTTAAAGCTAACCAATTTATTACAAATCTGGGTTTGCAATGGCTAAATACAAACTTAACTTTAGCAATTTTTGCTCTCATTATAATATAGTAATTTGTAAAGAAATTTTACTTGTTATAGTAAAAATCTATTATAGTATTATATGATAAATAATAAAATTAAAGAGAACTCAAGACTTATATTATACATATATATAAAAAATAAAAAATAAAATTAGAATTAACTAAATAAATAAAAAATTAATTAAAATAAATTAATAAAAATTAAATAGAAATAAATTAAAAAAAACTCAAAACTCGAGTAATATATATATATATATATAATAGAATTAGAATTAAATAAATAAATAAAAATAATTAAAAATAAACAATTAATAAAATTAATAGAGATAAAGTAAAAAGAACTCGAAGCTCAAGTAATATATATATATATATAATAGAATTAGAATTAAATAAATAATTAAAAATAAATAAAAATAAATTATTAATAAAAAATTAAATAGAGATAAATTAAAGAGAACTTGAAACTCGAGTAATATATATATAAATAGAATTAGAATTAAATAAATAAATAAAAAATATATTAAAAATAAATTATTAATAAAAAATTAAATAGAGATAAATTAAAGAGAACTCGAAACTTGAGTAATATATATATATATATATATAGAATTGGAATTAAATAAATAAATAAAAATTAATTAAAAATTAATTATTAATAAAAATTAAATAAAAATAAATTAAAAAGAACTCAAAACTTGAGTAATATATATATAAATAGATTAGAATTAAATAAATAATAGAATAAATTAATAAAAAATTAAATAGAAATAAATTAAAGAGAACTTGAGACTCAAGTAATATATATATAATAGAATTAGTATTAAATAAATAAATAATTAATTATTTAGAAATGAATATTACTAACCATAACTGGCAGTGACCATCACCAGGGTGCATATATCTCAAAAACGTATTAAGTAAATAGGATCAGGTATTCTAAATAAAAGTGTTCAGGGCCCCGAAAACCTCACAAAAACTAAATTCAAAACCTTATATTAGCTCTATATTATATTATATAAAAAAAACAATAATTCTTAATACCCGAACCCTAACTCTAAAAATATCTAGGGGCGGTGATAATCACCACCGGTTATTTGTAGTAAAACTCATTTAGAAATAAATTAATAAATAATAATAATAATAATAAATACTAAATTAATTAGAAATAAATTAATAATAAAATATTATTATTATTATTATTATAATGCACAAACTGTGAGTCTCGCGATCTCTTATATTGGTTAAAAATTTTGATAAATTTGTTGAATTTTCATTAAACATTCGAATAATTCTAGTAATTTGAAATATTATAATCTGCATGTTGATTTTATTCTTTGTTTATTTTAAGTTACGGGCTGGAATTTCAGAAAATCAAGTTATAAGAATCATAAATCAGCAAGAATAAGAAATTAATAGATACATAGATTATTTCAAATATTTTGATTAAATAATAATGACTAAATCGACTTGAATAAAAGATTGTTCATCAACCAAATCAGCATGGATGATAAACCAATAAAACTAATAATAAGTGTATACATTGATTTTGAATACTTTGACTAACAAATTATTTTGCTATATACTTTCCGGTTAAATTAACCTAAAATAAGTAACTTAATAATAATTTATAATCTTACTGAGCTAGAATAGCTTAAGGAGCAGCAAAATTTTTTTTATAATATTTTAGACTATACTTACAGACTACTTTATATAAAAATAAAAAAAATGCCATATTTTAAATATATCCACTATTACAATCATCATCACTAAATTAATAAAATAAGAAACCAAATTAAAAGTGAATATGCATTATTTATTTTTCACAATGGTGAGAATAAGAGATAAAATCCTGATTATATAGTATGAGGGTCTGAAGTAGGGATGGGTTCGGTTAGGTTATAGCTGGCTAGCTTAGCTAAACGGCTAGCTGATACTGAATTTCTTATTTCCTGGCTGATAAATCATAATTATTGGCACGAAGTGCACAATTTACAGAATTATTGTAAGAAATAACTTAGCTGTTCGTCACAGCAGATTCTCGATTTTGATTGGCTAAGAGCAACGATCAAAAATTTAGAATGAAATTGCTCAAAATTTTACCAATGAAATCACATCTGCACATTAAGTGAAAAATGTTCCGGAACTAATTTTACCATAGTCGAGGCCTATCTCCCTAAAAATTTCTATTCTTGTAATAAAAAAGTTAGAATCTTAATTCTGGCCAAAAATTATATAACAATTGTATAATGCAGGTCAAAATTTTATAGACCACAGCATTTAGCCGATTAAAATTAAGATCATTTTTGTCGATGATTTGCAATACAGAATTTTAATAATAACAAATAAATTTCTCAACACCTATCGATAATTTTTTTTTATTTTATTAATTATACATTTAAAAAAATTTTATAAATTTTACAGAGAAGCTATATCAAGAGCTAAAAAAAACGAAAAAGATATTAGCGGATTATTAGACCAAAGACAAAAGTTAATTAGCGAAGGGTTTAAGGAAATTCAAACCAAAAAAGAGTCTTCGCTATAACCTTGAAAGTTTTACTAACTAATCTAAATTTTCAAAACAATCTCAAATTTGCAGATTGTTAGCCTATTGGGGATGAGTTTTAAACTCATCCTCATTATAAGGCATAGTTGGAGGATAATGGTTCCAAATAAACCTTTTCTATGATGCAGGTGCCAATTAATCTATTAGTAATGGTGCGACATTTTTGGTTTGTTTACGATTTGCAATGCAATTACGTAATATTCATGCATATGTGTGCATAATTTATAAAGTATCGTATGTACGTATATTACAAACCAAATATTACATATATGCACATGTGCTTTGTTATATAATGTAATTTAAAATAAGGCGTAATAGTAAATACTTAGAGAATTGACAAAACAAGTAAAGATTCTACGGTAATATTCGTGAATTCTGTTAATGATCATCACGACAAGTTTTTTTGTACATACAGTACTATGTATTGTAAAGATTTTTCACGATTAACATAATTAGTAAAGACTCTACTTACGTATAAATTTTACTTATATACTATAAGAACATAATCCTTTGATATGCTTTAATTCAGATTTCTGAATTCTAGAATAGTTTTATCAGCCCAAAAAATGAATTTAGGTTCTCTATCAATTCTTCAAATTTGATCAGTAATTATGTACTCCTGTTCTTGGTTTATCATAATTAGATATTTCACAATTACTTATTGTACTAAGCAGTTGATTTATTCTACTAATTATAGTAAAACCTCGAAATAACAAGTATAGGCAATGTTGAATATTTAATTTGTGTGGAATATAAGTAACTCATGATATATAAAAGACGTGTTTTAAACATTATTATCAATTTTAGCTTTTTGAGATATATATTATGCCTTGTTACACAGATACAATCATAAAAATCAAACATGCCAAACGTAATGAAAAAGAAAACGCGAAAGTACCTTCGGTATAGGCTCTTAGAACATACCCACCAGGTCATAATGATAAAGAAATTGAAGTTACTCTATTTTTGCCAATCAATCAAGATAAACGAGACTCAGAATCACAGGCAATTTTTAAAAGAGATGAATACTATTCAGTTGGAGGAAAAATCGTACCTGGATCCTATAATGGAAAAATTAAACCAAAAGTATTTGAATATAATCTATTTATATTATTTTAATTTCGTATATATGCATAAATTAATTTTATTGTTGAATTAATATTTAGATAACTGTTGCTGTTTCAACACACATAACAATTGTTGATAAGGTTCTAACCGCGAATAAATGCTCTCTGATAACTTCTTTGATAGGAATTTCCCAAGAAATGCCAATTGAAATTAGAAACACCAAAGATTCGGTCATAGAAACACTTATATCTGACTATGTCGGTCAACCTTGCAGTTATAAGGTTAAGGTTGTCTTTCCATGTGATAATTCACGATTCAATCATCTCAAGACGACAATTCACCCGCAAGAATCTCTAATCTTCGTAATTGGACAAATGGAAATAATCTCTGATGAATTTTATGTTTATGCTAATGATATTAATTATATTAATACTTATTTTGTTCCTAAAAACAAAGAACATATTAATGTTGAATTATCTTCGCCAAATCTTATGCGATCCAAACTTCTAAACGTTCATCAAAATGCAACTAATAATTTTCAAGATAACTCAGAAGATCTAAAACGTAAAAAATCTGAAGTTGATAACTCAGAAAATAATCCTTTAAAATGTAAAAAATCTGAAGATGTTGATGAATTGGATGATAATGAAATTAACAATGCCGATAATATTAGAGATCATCCTCAAAAAACGGAAGAATATGTTTAAGCAAATCAAGAATATGAGACTAATAATAAAACAAAAAAAGATTCTACTAAAAATAACAAACGTCCAACTCGAGTTATGCGTAGTTCAACTACGAACTCTAATAATAAATAGTCTATATTCATATTAGTTTATTTTATATATCATTTACTTATTATAATAAATAGATATTTACATTTTTGAATATATGTTTTTTATATAATTCCATCCTAGAACTAGGCCAGTACTGTCTTTTTTGGAATGACCAAAAGACTGTCGCTCCTAATATCAGTTATTATTAAAGCATTGTTATAAATACATATAAATTTTAATCTAATTTTGCGATTTTATGATATTTAATCTGATACTAAATTTAGACCAAGTACATAAATAAAATATTTAATTATAATCACAAAAAGACTTTTATTAAGTTTATATAAAGTCATATGTTAAGCAGTGAATACTAAATAATGCTTTTATATAACTGTTCTGAATTCAGAAAACACAAATTTCTTTAGCATACATGCATAATTAAATCAATATATGTGGTGGCTTTTTTAATCTAAATACTAATTTAGTTAGATGTTTAATGATCATAATTCAGAATTGCAGAATTATAATCATTAAGAATCTTATGATCACAATTCAGCAATTGCAAAATTAATCATTAAGAATCTTAATGGTCATAATTTAGCAATCGCATAATTAATCACTGACAATCTTAATGATCATAATTCAGAATTACAGAATTATGATCGTTAAGAATCTTAACGATCACAATTCAGCAATTGCAAAATTAATCGTTAAGAATCTTAACGATCATAATTTTGCAATCGCAGAATTAATCACTGACAATCTTAATGATCATAATTTAGAATTGCAGAATTATGATCATTAAGAATCTTAACAATTAATTTTGCAACTGCTGAATTGTTTCTTAAGATTTTTAATGATCATAATCTGCAATTCTGAATTATGATCATTAAGATTGTTAGTGATTAATTCTGCGATTGCTAAATTATGATTGTTAAGATTCTTAACGATTAATTTTGCAATTGCTAAATTGTAATCGTTAAGATTCTTAACGATCATAATTCTGCAATTCTGAATTATGATTATTAAGAATCTTAATTAGTTTGATAATTGGTCTGTCCAGCCTTATATTGATCGGTCCTGAACCACAGTCCAGTCAATTTTTAAAAAACTGTCAGTCTTTGACCAAAATGAATTTATTAACAATCCTACATAATACTATTTTAATTATGAACAAAAAAATTTTCCAAATTTACTCTACATGAAAATATTATCAAAAACTCCACGAACTTTGTCAAGACTTCAACACAATGTTGTTGTAAAGAACTTCACACATTTGTTACAAAAAAACTACTTGTAAGAAAAGAGAGAAAAGAAATTAGTTCTAGTAAAATAAACAAAAAAGAAAAAAAAAACAAAGCAAAAAATCAAAAGCAAAAAAAAAAAAGAAAAAAAGAAGGGTGAAAGGAAAAAAGTGCGAAGAAAAAAAAGAAAGGCCAAAAGAAAAAAAGGGCGAAAAGAAAGAATGAAAGAAAAAAATAAGAAGAGCAAAAAAAAGAAAGAAGAGTGTAAGAATAAAAAAAAAGAAGAGCAAAAGAAATAAAATAAAAATGAAAGAAAAAGAGGTGAAAGAAAAAAAAAACAAAATAAACAATGATTATTTTAATTATTTTGATTATTGTATTGTTTATATGATCGCCAATCTTAAAAATGATTGTTTGATCATATAAGATTCATAAATGAGTTTGTATATACTTTATATACATACACCTCTAGTCTATACGTACCATGACATTCAACAAGCTTATACATGACAAGATGTACAATCACGCATCATTCAAACGTGTACCATGCCGTACAATGAACCTATACGTACCACAAACCCGTACCATTACAAATATTACCGAAACCACTCCGTATCACTACCCAGATCACTTTTTTTATAGGGCCAATCCTAAAATTTGTTAGGGTTAGAAATTAGAAATTAGAAATTTATTATTTTTTATTAATATAATATAGAGCTAATATAAGGTCCTGATTTCAGCTCTTGTAAGATTTTCAGGAGTTCTGAATATTTTTACTTAGAGTACCCGATCCTGTTTACTTAGTACATTTTTGAGATATAGCAATACTGGTGATGATAATCAGTGGTGATAAATAGCAAACCTCTATTTAATTAATTGTATATAAAAAGAAAATTAATATTTTTTATAATATTAAGAAATATTTATTTTAAATATAATATATAGATTCTAAAAACTATAATTTAAATTTAAAAATTAGGTTAATTAGATTTTAGAACCCAGGCAATGCCCGGGTTCTAAAATCTAATTAAACTATTATAATACAAATAATAATAAAGAATAGAATTTTGAACTTGGGCAACACCCGGGTTCAAAAATTTAATTACACTATTATAATACAAATAAAAATTTGAACTCGGGCATTGCCCGAGTTCTAAAACGAAAATATATTTAGACATAAGAATTAAAAAAAAATTAGGAACTCGAACCCGGGGCAACGCCCAGGTCCTAAGAGCTAGTATATATATTATTTTTAAATCTATTTTAACTATTGAAATTTTGACTCTTTTGAGATTTTACAATTAAGTTTTAAATGCAAGATTTTGAGTTATCAGGATCTTTTCTTTATCAAGATTAACACATCAGAATCCTCTTTTCGTCAAGATTATGAATTTTATGATATAGACTGTTGAGATTTTGGATATCTGGATTTTAGGGTAGTGCCGTTATTGAAATATAAATACTATCAAGTAAAAGCTTGTAAATATCAATTTCAAATTTTTAACATCCTCATAATATCTAATTTGTATGCGACATGAGTGCTACCAACTTTGAATTTGACCAGCGAATATTTAAGCTTTCATTATATTTGAATTAACTGGAAGAATTGTAATTTTAAGTAATTACGATCGATTTTCTAATCATATTTATTGTGCTTCCGAAATGATCAGAACTTTAAAATCATTTTGATAAAATTAAATTACACTGGCAATCATAAGTAGTGCAACAAAAAAAAAATTTCACTTACATCATACTACCTCCCGCAATTCCGGGCATA